CCTGTTTGAAATTACTAACATCACTAATAAAGACACACAGCCCGAAAGGATGGAAAATGGTATTCCATGAAAATGGATCCAGAAAACAAGCTACTGTAACTATCCTAATACCTGAAGAGATTTCAGGGCAAAATTAGTTGAAACTAGAAATGATTAAATACTAATAAGGGGAACAGTTCATCAAGAAGATAAAGCAATTGTGTACAAACACACACACAGTGAACACTGGCCGGACAATTTCATAAAACAAACAGTATTGGACATAAAGAACAGATAAATACAGATACAACAGTAGGCAATTTCAACACCCTGATCTCATCAATACATGGAGCATCTAGACAAAATATCAGCAAGCTTTAAACTGAACCGACGACCAAACATCCTAGACACAGACATGCTCACACAAAGAATATCCTGATAGTTGCAGAATACACATTGAACTCAGCAGCCAATGAAACTTTCTCCAAAATAGTTTATATCAGACCCTAAAGCAAATCTTATTACGGATGGTTGTGAGCCACCATGTGGGTGCTGGGAATTGAACTCAGGACCTCTGGAAATACAGCCAGTGCTCTTAACCGCCGAGCCATCTTTCTAGGCCCCCTAAAGCAAATCTTAACAAATAAAAAAATATTGAATAACTTCTTATACTCCATCATATCATGTTGGGTTAAACCAGAAATCAACTATAAGAAAAAATAAACTAATATATGAAACTTAAATAATATACTATTGAATGATTAGTGGTTCACTGAAGAAAGGGGAGGATTAAAAACTTCACAGAATCAAGCAAAAAAAGCAGTTCTAGGAAAGAAACTTATATAGTAATGAATTAAAGAGACAGTAAGTAAATAACTTAATGATGCTATCTCAAGGTGGTAGAAAACAAGAATAAGCCAAACCTAACACCTACAGAAAGAAATACTAAGTTCTGATCTCAAATTAATGAACTGGGAAAAGAGAAAATCATGAAGGGTTAACAGAAAGGAAAGGCTACCTGCTTGAAAAGATAACAGAGAAAAACAGCCTAAGTAACAGAAGTAAAAGAGAGAAAACTGGAAATGAATACAATTAAGAATCAAATAAAACTGATACTACTGAAATCCAAGTTTCTATGATACTTCAAGATACTATGAAATGCACAATTAACAAATATGTTTCAACACGGGGATGTCCCCAGCTAGGTCCTTGGGCAGTAGAGGAGAGGGTGCCTGAACTGGCCTTGTCTCATAGTCAGACTGATGACTATCTTGAATATCACCATAGAACCTTCATCCAGCAACAGATGGAGATAGAGACAGAGACCCACATCGGAGCACTGGACTGAGCTCCCAAGGTCCAGTTGAAGAGCAGAAGGAGGGAGAATATAAGCAAGGAAGTCAGGACCACAAGGGGTTGGTCCACCCACTGAGACAGTGTGCCCGATCTAATGGGAGCTCACCAAACCCAGCTGGACTGGGACTGAACGAGCATGTGATCAAACTGGACCCTCTGAATGTGGCTGACAATGGGGGTGGACTGAGAAGCCAATGAAAATGGCACTGGGATTTGTCTCTACTGCATGTATTGGCTTTTGGGGATCCTAGTCTATTTGGATGCCCACCTTCCTAAGCCTGGATGGAGAGGGAAGTGCCTTGGACTTCCCACATGACAGGGTACCCTGCCCTCCCTTAGGACTGGAGGGGGAGAGGGGAGAATGAGTGGGGAAGCAAAAGGGAAATGGGAGGAGGGGAAAAAGTGGAAATTTTGAATGGTATTATTTATAAAGCAATAAAAAATAAAACTCTCTGCTAAAAAAAAACAAAAGAAAACCAAATATGTTTCAATACATTGAAAAATATAGACTGTTCTTGTAGACACACAGTCATTGCAAGAGTCTAAGAAACTAAACAAATCTATCATGGACAACGTGATAGAAGAAGTAGCAGTTGCCCAATGAAGAAATCAGGACTAAGATGGCTTCACTGCTGAATCCCACCAGACATCTGAAGAAACCTGAATACCAATGTTCCTCAAAACAGTCTGTAAAAATAAAAATGAGAGTACTTCCAAACTCATTCCCATGGTAAGAAAAAAAACGAATAGGAAGGGAGGGGAAAAAAAGGAACTACAAACCAATTTCCTTCATGGCAAATCTAGATGCAAAATTCCCCAATATAACGCTTGCAAACTCAATACAAGAACAAAGCAAAAGATCATATGCCAACTACTTGGTTTCATACTAGGAATGAAAACTGGTTCAGTATCCACAAATCAGTAAGTACTGATAGCACAGAGAAATGTGGACAAAGCTTATATCATCATTCCAACCAATACTGGAAATGACCTTTGACAAAATTCAATACTCCTGAATGATAGAAGTCCTGAAGAAACTAGAAAGATTACACATACTTCAACACCTGAAAACTGTTGCCAATATCACACCAATTGGGAAAAAACTGAAAACACCTTGTTAAAAATCAGGAAGGAGACACACGTCCACTCTAACCACTCTTGACCAAAGCAACTTTTTGAAATTCTAGTTACATCACTAAGGGATCTAACAGAAGGAACTTAAGTAACTGATTTGTAGGACATATACTATACTTAAAACACCCAAAAGACCCAGAAACTTCTTACATCTGGTAGTTTTAGCAAAGAAGCAAGAATCAAAATCAGCAAACTTCATGAACTAGAAATCAGCAAAACTCCACCCATGACATCTTCAGAAATGTACTTAGGTGTGGGGGAGAGAGTACAGTTGGCAAAATGCTGGGCATGAGAGCATGAAGATCTGGATTCAGTCTCCAGAACCCATGTAAGAAAGTACGCACGTGGTAGTGTGTCCACATCTTAGCACTGGGAAGAAGACTGCACTTCTCTGGGGTTGCTGAACACCTGCCTCGTCCTACCTGCTGAATCCACACCAGGGAGACAAGGCAGACAGCGCCTGAGAACTAACACCTGAAGTTTCCATCCAGCCTCCTCGTGCTCACATGTATATGGACACAAACACAAAGCTTAACCAAACATGTTAAACTCTTCTACAGCAAAATGCACAAGACACTAAAGACAGGAAAGACCTCCCATGCACATGGCTGGGCTGAATCCATAGCACCAAGAGTGATAGGTAGACTCAACGCAATCTTAATCAAAATTTTTATGACATTCTTTATAGAAATATTTCTAAATGCTAAAACTTATAAAAATGCTCCCAAATAGCTAACACAATCTTGAGTAGGAAAGGTAATGCTGGAAATAGCATTTCAGACTTCAAACTATATTATATACTCCTAAAGGCAATGGTGTGCAGTTAGGGAAGAAGTAGGAGTAAGAACGTGACCAACTAGAAAACACCACATTGAGTGAGGTAACCCAGACCCAGAAAGACAAATATAATGGACTCACTCATAAGTGGCTTTTAGACATAAAACACAAGAAGGAGAAAAAGACAAGCTCTCCAGAGTAAATTGGGAGTATGGGATCACGAAAGGGTAAAAGGGGAGAGGGGAGGAAGAGAAGGGAGCAGAGAAAATGTCTAGTGCAATAAAAAGACTTTAAAAAGAAAAAAAAAATGTGATCGAAGCATAGTTATAAAATTCTCAAGTTTAAAAACCAGCATGGCACTGGCACCAAAGCAAACACGCACACTGCCTTGTAGACTTATGCGAGTGACCTTGCATTTGGAGGAAGAAAATACACGTGGACCCCAATCTAAGGCATTGTAATTGGGTGAATTTGAGGAAACTGAGGGGACACTCATGAACTGGCATCACAAGCAGGGTCATCGTCGGTGTTCACAGCCACCATGTGCAGCTACAGTAGAGAAAAAGCACAGCACACGGCAAATTATCTGTTGTCAGAACACAGGCTCAGTTCTCAGTGAATGCTGCAAACCTTAAATCACTCTGCTTAAAATTTGCTGTCGGCACCTATCCATAAGATGCAGATAGTCATGTGCAAAATGTCTATTTAAGCGGGCATTATGTGCTCACAGTATGTTGTGAAATTGTGAGCTGGAAACTTCATATTGTTTGCAACACTTAACACAAGACCTAGAATTTGGGTGCTGTCTCATCGTGCATGGTGAGCCATACAGATGTCAGGACCAACTATGTATTTCCGTATCACTCATTCATTGCTAATGCAGAGGACTAAGGACTAAACACCACAACTGGGACAAAGGGAAATTCCTAAAGTCGTTCAAAGGAAATCTTACTGAGTTGGTGCTTGTTATTTTGCACTTGGAGCAGTTACTAGACCTTCAGGAATCAAAAAGCAGAGTATCTGAGAGAACATTTCTGGACACAGGTTTAATGAGAAATCAAGGTGTCATCCCACCAAACAGACTTATCTTCTTTGGGGTCTGGGAAAAGTCTGAGGCCGGTGTATCCACCAAATGTACCGACCTATTGTTTCTTCTTTTGAGGGGAGACTGCTGGTTGGTCTCGACTTGAGCGGGCCTCTTCTGAGCATCTCTGTGGAACCCTAAGTAGGATGCAGGCTTCTGGTTACTGTATTGCTACCATAGCTACTCTGTTGTCCTCCCTAATCACTACCTTACACTGTACCATCCTTATTTGTTCTTATTCTCACTTGACACACCAAGAGTCATATGGAAAGTGGGAGTCTCAGCTGAGGAGCTGAGGAACCGCCCAGATCACGGTGCTCTAACCGCGTCTGGAATGGTTTTGGTTGCTGACTGATGTGGGAGGACCTAGCTTACTGTGCACAGTGCCAGCCAAGGGCAGGTGGTCCTGGGACGTTTAGAGAAGCTGGCTGAGCAGGAGCCAGGGGGAGCAAGCCAGTGAGCTTCTCTTCCACGGTTCCATCCCCTGCCCCTGCTTTAGCTCTCATCCTGACTTCTCTATGATACACTGCTACACGCAAAAGGAAGCTAAAACCAACCATTTCCTCCCCAAGCTGCTTCTGGTTATAGTTATCTGCCACAGCAACAGAAAGCAAACGACAATTACTTTCCCACTTCATAACATAAAACAGCAGCCAAGTTAACATAACTCTTTAAATTTCTCTAAGACAGTTCTATTAGCGTCCAAATCCTCCAACAAGGAAAAAGCAACACAAATAGAAATAAGAACCCTTCTAGAAAATGCCCTTGTAGAAGGGCATCAGAATGTATAATACAATAAATCAATCTTTTCCAAACAAATTCAATTCTGTCAATCATTCCTTCCCTTCTTCATGTTCATCAACTCATAAGTTCAATTATCTGTCCCCTTATTTTACACTGACGTTCTCTAGAAGTTTCCAGCTATGGCAGTTTTGTGTTTGTTCTTGCTGTTGTCTTGGAAAGGAGACCTATGTGAAGAAATTGATTTATTGAGTGTATTTTGCCTGTAGGTGGACACAGGTTTCCTCCTTTGAGTACCAGAAAACTGGAATGATTCCTCCATAGAACCAAAAACGCTTCCGTGAAAGAATTCTGAATCACTCACTACTTTCTGACCTATTGTTAGCCTGAACCAATGTGCAAAATCTGAAGCCCTAAAAATCTGGCAGGTCCTAGGTGCGGTGAGACAGTTCGCAGTGATCCTGGACTCTAGGCCAACACAGAGAATGAAATGGCCCCAATAGAAACCTTCGACAGTGTGACAGGACTGGTCCTCCATAGGCCGAGGCAAACACCACTCGCAGTCTATAGCTGAGTTAGTTGTGTACAGCCCTGGGCTAGGTGGGGTCTAAGTTTCACTCCTCTCAGCTCTTCTCCCTCCTGATAATGATCAGATCCAGTGTGCTGCCACTATTTCCCGTACAGATTCCGCACTCATCACCAGGACACTGACACACAGCCTTCTAGCAGCGACACGTAACTAGACATGATCTGGAGAACACGAAAGACTACCCCAAAAGGCCTTTAGCTCTAGGGGTCGGTTTTGAAATCTCAGCATAAAAATGTTTCCCTACATTTTCTGTACGTCCTCATGTTTAAGTATGGTCACGTCTTCAAACCGCAGGAGGATGATAAGCCCTGTGCTGAAGCTGTAGGTGGCCTGCTTGCCTTTCTCATATGGCAGGGTGGACGTCAGCAGGGCTCCGCGCCATGCAGGCGGTTCTAGTGGAGTCAGAGAAACCCTAGACCCTGAAGTCGCACCACGGAGATGACTCAGAGAAGGAGCTTGCAGACAAGCCTGAGGAGCCGAGCCGAGTTCCAGCCCCAAAAACAAAATGGAGGACTGAGTGCTACCCGCTGACTCCCACACGCATGCTGTTACACAACAGCCCTTCCCCAGTGCAATTCAATTTTATAGAAGTGTGGAACCAGCATGCAGCAGCTCTATACTGGATGATATCATCTTAACTTTGCCATAGAAGAGATGATCAACACGACTGGAGGAGACAGCCAAGCTCCATGCTACACAGTTTAGAGATGGGGCTGTAAGTCACAGGGAGATTCTGAATGGTGCCCGCCAAACACTACTCTAGTGTGAAGTCTGGTGGACAGTTTTATGTATACATTGGACAATGTATTTTTTTTTGTTTTTTCCAGATAGGGTTTTTCCGTGTAACAGCATATATGTTTCATGTTTACACTATGGGAAATACATCTGAGAGTGCAATTAACACAGAACTAGTTGACAAAATGACAAGAAAGAAAACTATTACTCATTTAAACCAGAAAGTGATTCTGGGAATCCAGTAAGGTATTGCAACAACAGAAAGAAGTACCTTTTATATAAAACACAGCACATGTTTAACAATGAATCAACGGTCTGCGAGCTGGCTGTAACAGAACAGTAAACTCACATATATTGGAGGAACTTTGTGTCTTGGAAGCAGCTGCCTAAGGAAGTGCACTGGTGCTCAGCGAGGCGGGAGCTGCAGCTGAAGGTGCTCTCACACCCTTGGCACTTGTACGGCTTCTCTCCGGTGTGGATTCTCTGGTGTCGGTTGAAGCTTGACCTCTGAGTGAACGCCTTGCCACAGTCTTTACAACAGAAGGGCTTGTCCCCAGTATGAACCCTCTGGTGCTGAGTGAGGCTCGATCTTTGATTAAACGCTCTGCCACAGTCTTGGCAGTGGTACGGTTTCTCTCCGGTGTGGATTCTCTGGTGTTGGATTAGAAGCAGGTTGCGGCTGAAAGCTTTGTCACAATCTTGGCACTTGTAGGGCTTCTCTCCAGTGTGGATTCTCTGGTGCCGAGTAAAGCTTGACCTCTGAGTGAACGCCTTGCCACAGTGCTTACAGTGGTAGGGCTTGTCCCCGGTATGAACTCTCTGGTGCTGAGTGAGGCTGGAGCGCTGTTTAAAAGCTTTGCCACAGTCCTTACAGTGGTAAGCCTTCTCTCCAGTATGAATTTTCTGGTGTTGAGTAAGGAAAAACACACGGTTAAAGGCTTTGCCACATTCGTTACATTTATTGGGTTTCTCTCCAGTGTGACCTCTCTGGTGCAGGCTGAGGCTTGATCTTTGATTAAAAGCTTTGCCACAATCTTTACAAGAATAGGGTTTCTCTCCGGTATGAATTCTCTGGTGTTGAGTAAGGCTTGATTTTTTATTAAACGCTTTGCCACAATCTTTGCAATGGTAGGGCTTCTCACCAGTATGAATCCTCTGGTGTTGAGTAAGGAGTGAATTACGGTTGAAGGCTTTGCCGCATTCTTTGCATTTGTAGGGTTTCTCTCCAGTGTGAACTCTCTGGTGTAGGCTAAGGCTTGACCTCTGATGAAAAGCTTTGCCACAGTCTTTACAATGGTAGGGCCGCTCTCCAGTATGAATCCTCTGGTGTTGAGTGACAGTTGATCTCTGATTAAATGCTTTGCCACAAAATTTACAGCAGTAGGGCTTCTTCCCGGCATGGATGCTCTGGTGTTGCGTAAGGAGTGACTTATGGTAGAAGGCTTTGCCACATTCTTTACATTTGTGATGTTTGACACCAGAATGAATCCTATGATGCTGTCTAAGGCTGGAACAATAGGTAAAGGCTTTGCCGCATTCCTTACATTTGTAGGGTTTTTCTCCGGTATGATTTCTAGGAAGGCTGGAATTTTTATTGAAAGCTGTGTTACAATCCATACCCTTGGAAATCTGATCTTGAATATGGATATACTGGTGGATGATAAGTTCTGAGTATTGATGAAAGATGGTGTCACATTTGTAGCATTTGTAAAAGTCCTTTGGGAAATGAGCAGACTGCTGATCCGCAGGATTTGGCTCATGGATTAAGTCACTGTCATTTCCATTGCACTGATATACTGTCTCTCCAATAAATGGGCCCTGGTGATTATTTAAGGTAGACTCCTCAGTAAAGGCCTTCCTGTTTTCTTTGCATATATACTGGATTTCTAAAATATCTGTACTTGAATTTTGATTAGGTGATACTGGATGTGTAAAGAACCTGTCGTGTTTATGGAAATTGTGTGTTTTGGCACATGAAAGACCTAATTGTTGATTATATATTAAGGAATTTTTCATAATGGAGCTCTCAAATTGATTACATTTAGAAATTTTTTCTTTATTTTTAAGTTCCCCATCAACAAAAAGGTTTGAATGAAAACTTAACCCAAAGCTGCATTTGAAATTGCTGAAGTCAGTAACTGAAGAATGGGCTAGACCCCTCTCTGCATTTCCCAAACTATCTTTGAAAGAAGAAGTGTATTTCAAAAACTGACTCTGATGTTCACTGACAGAAGCACACGGCTGTTCACAAGCAACAGGCAGGGCCTGAGGGTTTTCTTGAGCCATTTCAGGTTCTTGCTGTCTACTGGGAGTAAAGCTTCTCCTACTCTCAGTTGTTACAAACGGGTTGTACCCATTATAATACGTCTTCGGAACTTCACGTCCCTCTATATGGTCCCTTTCTTCTCTGGAGCACAAACCGTCAAGGTCACCATTTCTATGGCTTCCATCGATCAGTTCCTGGAATGAATACTTTATGTTCTGCTCTGGTGAAAAGTGTTGGTTATAATGAGGAAACACGGCTGAAAGAAATCAAGACAAAAAATTATTTCACTCATTAGACTCTGATGAATACAATTAGCACATCTAACATCTAAAATCATGCTAAATTTAGCACAACAGCAAACTGCAGAATGGAAAAAAATCTATGGCCTTCATTATATTACTAATACTGAACACAATGACTCTGGAAGAAAATAAACACTCATTTTTGTTCATAAATACTGAATTCTTCTTTTGTAAAATGAAAAGGTCATAGAGATGTGTTACACAACAATTTGGATTTAACAGTTTAAAATAGAATAATAAAATCTTTCAGAAAATAAATTTAATTTTACATGGTTTTGATCATGGTAAAAAGCTAAGAAAGAAATGAAACTGAAACTTCAAATGCTACCTTAAACAAACTGTCTCTCTTAGACATGGAAGCAGATTTATCAAGACACAGATGATAAAGTAAGGTAACTGTCAAAAATATTCACTGAGCCAGGATGAAATGACCAAGGAGCACAACCCAGTCAGAAAACATCCCTGCCATAAGCAAAACAGGTGCACTATTTAGCCAGGCAAATAAAAACCCACACAATTTTACTGATAATAGACAAATACATAACTCAGTCTTATTTTAATTTCACCTTACACTGTCCTGAAACATACAGTATTTATAACAGACATTTAATAATAAAATACAGGTAAAGCTACTAATATTAAGGAATATAAAGGAATGTAAAAACAGAAAATACAGGAAAAAAGAAGGAAAAATGAACCATTGTACCATAAAATCCTAAATCATCAGGTGATAATTAAAAATGTCTTTATAGAAAACGAGTTCTCAGTTTTGTCTCTATATACCTATAAAATCATTAGCAGTCAAGTGTTTGGTAAAAAAATTCACAGAAAATTCATTAAAATGTACATAAAGGGTTCTGAGACAACTGAAAAAAACCAAACATATAAACAATGTTAATAGAAAACTTCTTTAGCATATTAATATAATATACTATATTGACCAAGAGTTCCTGAAAATGTCGACAGATATTCTGAGGCTACCAAACATTATGAAATAACTGTCACATTATACAGTTGCCCAAAGGAGAGGGGAGGATTTCAGCCACCACTGTGAATGTGGAGACCACTGCAGCAGGACCAGACTGGAGGAGCACTGTGAATGTGGAATAGAGCACTGCAGGACTAGGATGGAGCACTATGAATGTGGAGATCACTGCAGGAGGACTAGACTGGAGGAGCACTGTGAATGTGGAGTAGAGCACTGCAGGACTAGGATGGAGGAGCACTGTGAATATGGAAGAGATCACGGCAGGAGGACTAGGCTGGAGGAGCACTATGAATGTGGAGACCACTCAGGAGGACTAGGCTGGAGGAGCACTATGAATATGGAAGAGATTACTGCAGGAGGACTAGGCTGAAGGAGCACTGTGAATGTGGAGACCAC